GATAAACTACATCTCGAAAGGATCGCGTAGAGACTATAAGTACGAGAATGAAAATTCGAGAGACTATCATTCGACACGACCCAAGGCTCGCCGATAAAATTCAGTCGGGGGAATAGCTCCCCCAGGATATCGAACGGATTATAAAAACCGATTTCAAAAATAACCTAACTCACCTTTCCACATCACGATCCAAAAGCGCAGGCGTGCTCGACGCTTTGATACGCCTCTGCGCCTTGCTCAGCCCAGGAATCCGTCTCCTATCCTTTCCAGAATACGCGCTCGAACGTTGATCGTGTAGCGGCTGAAACATAATCGAAATCATTTTACACATTTTGCCGACGCATAATTGCGCGTTGCATCCCTCCCCTCCCCCTCTCTTTCTCTCTTGGCCTAACCAAAGACACGTAGATGCCAAATATAACCCTTGTGATAACCTCCCGCGCGTTGGAAAGTTGGTCGGACGTCGATCTATTCCCATGATTCGACACGCACGAGCGCTCCCGATCGCTCCTATCTGTATCGAGGCTTATCGAGAGATCACGACTCGAGGGATATTAGACGCCTAACGTGTATTTCGTTTAGTGAATTATTTCGTAAGCCCGATGTTACGCCGATACACTGGGTCACTACTATGCCTCCCATTCACGTTCCGGCCACGGGATTGTTAAGTTCTTCTTCAGAATGAATAATAGGATGCGATTCATAATGGATCGTATTGTGCGGACGAGATAATGATGTTAAATATACGGAGTACGGGTTCGATCGGCGATCCCCGCTTTGGAATCGTGGTGTAGAAAGTTTTCTTTTGTATTGGAGATTCTAGATTCGACGTGAATTGTACATCTCTTAATTGTAATCATCATTCTAAAAAATTTGAAATATTTTTTTAAATTAACCATGTGTATCCATCGTGGAAAAAGTGATATAGTCGATAGAGAGATTGTAAGCGTTGAAATATAATAAAAAACCTGGAATTTTCTAAAATATCTCTATTTTTTTAATTTCGAAATAACTTTAAATTAGTGAAATTGTATATATGTATATATATTAAAAATATTTATGATATAAATGCAAAGATTTCGAAATATCGAAATATAGAGGAATGAGAATTTCGTGAAATATTATTGACGAAATTTAACGTTGCCAATTGAACATTTAGATCGACAGAATATCCCCGTTAACACACGAACGAAAATTTGCGTGTCGCAACGATTTCGAAGCGATTTCGCGATGGAAATTCGGGAATGAAAGGGGTGAAAATGGCACGGTGCCACAAAGCTTGATTATATCTGCGATCGTCTCCTCGTCGGATATGATGTTTTGCTAATTAACGATCATTTGTATTCGATATTTTATTCCTTGTTACCTATGTTTCGAATAAAATATTCGAACACGTTACGAACGTGTTACTTAATTATTGCCTCGCGAGATGATAAAAAGAAAATCTAGTTTAGCGTATCGATATCTCGAAATACACGATAACGTGTGGGAAGAAAGTTTCTAAAACGTTTAACTATACATACTCTGCAGATTAAATCCAGATTATAGAATTAAACGTGGAAAACGTGATTTTTATCGCGCTTTCTTTTTTCTATAAATAACACGTAAATTTTAGAATAAATATATAAATTTTATACGAAATACGTTATATAATGGTTAATACTAAGTAAAATAATAAATATTTAATTAATTTTACCTTTAAAATTATTATGTTAAATGTTTCGTTCGAGTAATTTTTTTCGAATGGAAGTTCACCTTTAATATTATCCAATTCTGCAGGATAGCATTGTATGCTGAACCCATGTAGTACATGTACCACAGTGAAATCCATGCAGCTCTTTCTGACGTCTATTTGCTATATATACATACCTACACACAGTACATATAGAAAAGCTGTCGATCGTGACTGTTCGAGTTCGATTCGGAAGCGATTCACTACAACGAAGGATATACTTTCTACCCTGTTCTCATTCCACATTTTTTTATTAAAAAAAAATATATACTTGATAGAAATATATCGACGGGAGAACTTCCATTCTCTTGTATTATCATTGAAAATAATATTACCTTTGCCCATAAAACGACAAAACGTTTCTCACGGGTAAATTTAAATTATTATCCTTTTATCCTTTTATTCGGAACGAACATCGAATATTTTTCGTTTTCTCCGCCTATTCGATTTCGACAAAAACGTGGTTTACGCCATTCGGAAAGGTTCTCGCGTTGAACATAATGGAAAAATGAAATAGGGCCGCCCAATCGTTCCCACTTCGTGGAATTACTTAGCAGTTGAGGCGAATATTTCGGGGGTAACATCGATCGATGTGTATCCACCTTCCGGTTTTCTAAACGAGCTCGGACCACATTTCAGTCCACTCTCCGCGTTTCTATACCGAAGAGAGGTCGAGAAGTCACTTGACTCGTCGAGAGAACGAGTATTGTTGACTGCGAAAGAATTCACCCTCACCGAAATATCTCGATGCCATTGTCTCCCACTCTTAATTACAAACAGTCCTTGCTGCACTCGATTCTGCTTCCCTTTATTGCCTTTTCTACTCGTGATTCGCTTTTTTCATCATTCACCTATCACCCTCCACACTTTTCCTTTTTCCGAGAAATTTCGATGTCCAACGAATTCTTTTCTTATCTCTTGATTCGTAGGTACGAATATATCTCATTTACGGAATACGATATATTTGCGAGAGGATAAATTATGTAGGTTGATGAGCTTTTTGTTAATAATTTCTGATATTTTTAGAGAAGGCGAGTACAAAACAGAGGTATACAAGAGAGAGAGAAAGAGAGAGTCCCAGTTCTGAAAATTGCACAGAGGAGAAAAGTCGGTTAATTGGATTGCTAGATGAACCAAGATCGAGCTATTCAGGTCATCGGTGAAGTAGTTCGTCCTAGGTGTAATATTCGAAAAAAAGTTGTCGCTTATAATAAAAAACAAGCCTCGTTTTTGAGGTTAAATATACTAATAAGTAACTAGTAATAATAAACAACTATCTTGCCTAAAATTTGCATAATAAATTTGCATAATAAATTTGCAAGATAGTTGAATAAAATTATACGTAACGTTTCGAAGAAACCACGTACGATTGAAATTCCAAAAGATTCTACTTGACACGACTGTCGATCATATCAAAACGATAAGAAAATGGAAAAATTTTCCAATTAAGATCACACGTAACACCAAGGATAAACCTTTCAAAATACTATTAAATAGCCAGGTTAAAGAAATATCGGAGAAGCAGATAGGTGGGAAAAATGTTTTACAGCGTTGAATATGCATAGACCGTGCAACCGTTCGTGCTAACCTTTAATTAAAACTTTTAATTAAGGTCGACGCGAGAAGTTCGATGCTATCGAACTGCTTTGTGTCAGTACTCGACGTTTCTTCGAACGTGGCTTTCGCGTGTCGAAATAAGAAAAGAGAAAGAAAAGTTCGATCGATTCGTACGATTTCGAATTGAAAGCGATTCGATCGAGCGCGGCAAAGAACGGAATGGCCTCCTCCTCGTGAAAATATTAGCTTTTGTCTCGATACCACGATTCACGAGCGGCCATTCAAATTCAAATTTATATACATCCAAGCTGGCCAATTCGGACACAAAACGATTCCGCCACCCGGAAAATATGTATTGACAGTGTTTGCTTCTGTTGCGGTACGCCACGATTCAAAATCATGGACAGAACTCACTGACCAAAATTTGAATTTACATTCCCTGCCGTTTTGTCAACCCTTTACTTTGGAGAACAATGAATTTTTGATGGAAAAGTTTATCGATGGTGATCGAAAATTGAAATATTCCGAGTTTAGAAGATAGTTAAAAATTTTTTGGTTAAATTTCACATCCGAGTTTAAAATTATTTATCAGTAGAACGAACGTCAATTAAAAACATTAATGTATTGTATACTATATATGTAAAGTTTTTGGAAAAATAAATTATTGACAGTCATTCATTATTTATCCATAATACAAATTTAGAGCGTTACTTTCGTCGCAATAAATATCAATTAAAGCTGATAAATTGTCACTCTACGATACGATATCAAATATTGACAAATACCTCACAGATTGCGGTTAAATAGGTTCCAAATTATCCATTAATTTCGTATTCTATTTCAATCGAAACAATGCCCCTAATTCATTTCACTTTCGATGTTTAAAACGATGGTCAAATGTCGATTCTGTCTTTCTCTCTCGTCTCCTTTCCGAATAGATCCAATGATCGAAGCGGTTGCAATCGGTCGGTCGAAAATCATTCAGCATGTTATATCCGGACTTGACAGAATTTTTGACTCGGTTAATTAACATTGATCCGAAAGAGCATTTGCATGTTCCTGGTGTTAGATTCCTAACATGCTCAGTAAATCGATAATTGGAAGTTACCGAGGTCACCGCCCAATTATTCATTCGTGTACGATTTTGGTGCCATGGAACGATCCCCGCGAATTCTGATCTCTGCTCGATTAGGCATTCGGGTTCGGTTATTCTGTCGGAAGAAATTTTGATTTAACAAGTGTACAAACCAATCAATGCGTGCTTGTTTGTTCATGGAATCGAATTCGATTATCTCTTTGTTCTTTTTTTTTTCCCTCTCCTTTTGTTATTTAAAATTTAATAGAAAATGAAAATGTAAAAATAAAACGTTTCTTTTGTGTCCTTAATATCTATTGAATTTAAAATTGAACGTTTAAAAATACGCAAAGGAATATTAACCGACGATTGATTTATGGACTATAAAAATTGTCGGAGATATTTGACGTGGATAGTTTTGCAAGTTCGTTAATTAAACATCAATCGAGAAGAAATCGCGAAATAGCAACGGAAAGGGTAAAGCTGAGAAATTATTTTCAAGGATAGACGTCAGACGTTCGATCAGCTAGACACGCGATTCGTAATTTCCTCCATCGAAGTGAATGATAGAACGGTCGGATGAATAATGGCTGCCGCGTTCGACGTCTCAAACTAAATATACGCGGCATAAATATACGTTGTTTACATATGAGTATAAGAGTTCGAATATTCCCTGTATTCTCGATATATTATTATCGACTATAATATTATGTTTACTTTTATTAATCCATTCGTATCTATTTCATTACTTTATATTATATTAAACTGTGAATGGAAATTGTTACGAAAAAAATTTTTTTTTCCCCCTCTATTATTTTTTCAAGCGACGAGAAATCTATCGAAGAAAATTAAAAAATTAATAAAAAACGAAAATGTTAAAGAGACTATGCGCAATTCAAGTTGCACATAGATTGCAGAGGAAATATCGTAGAGGGATAAATCTTGTTAAAATCTTTCCATGACCAACTTTTCCTATTCTATTCCGTGCTTAGGAAAAAGCCACGACTCGTCCCAGTTCCTAGAATCATTTCGTATAACAGGATTGGAGCTTTTAGTATATTAGATAACTTAGTCGATGATAAAATCACTTGAATCACGTATCTCTTCAATTATTTTCACTTTTTTAATGCACGCGTATATACGTTTGTGTTGTGCAATAAAATGCCGGTTCTATTAATTAAGAAAAGAGAAAGGAAAAATTCGATATCAAAAGAATCGCAAGACAGCCGACAGAATTTCATTACTCCTTCAATTACAAACCAACGTTAGAATTAGAGCGTGTTAATACATATCGATTGCATTATTGCGTTTGAATATACGTGTGCAGCGTATCGTTGCTTCCTACGACATGCATCATTCACACGGACACAACAGGCATACCTGTTCGTTAACGTTACTGGTAACAATGTCGTGTCGAATCGACTGTATCTATAACGCTTATGCACGGATCATTGTCAACAAGGGACAAGCATTTAACTGACAATTAAATGGACATCGACATTGTAAACTCGAATTCGCGGATTCTGCCTGATTATCTTAACGATTATCTTAATTTCCCAGAATCACTTTCCTGTTCTACCGCCTATTCCACCTTGCAATTCCACTATCGCGAAATTACTTGGAATTAACAGGAATACGACTCCTCTTCTCAAAGATGACGATAATTTAAACACGAATTTTTTCCAATCCCTTTCCCGGATAAAACCTTATCCAAATTATCTCTATTCTCTTCCCAACATCCATCTTATCATTCCTCCTAACATCAACCTTTCTCTTAAAATCTTTCAAAAGAATACGTCCCAGGAATATTTTAACACTATACAAATGCATAATTGAATTTTAAAGAAAATGGAGAGACTTGATTTTTATCCCAGCCTCCGGATAAAAAGCCGGAAAACCATCGAAACTCCATCCACTTTCCATTCCAACATCGATTTCCCCCGCGATTAAAAGATATCCGATATGAAAAGCTTTTCGACACGCTTCGATCGTCGCCCAAGGCGCTCGATAATAAAGTCGTATCCACTCCGATCCCTCGATGCTGCGTAATCGTTTCAAATTACCTCGAGATAGGTGGAAACGGATGGTACACCGTGTCAGATGCTCGGCATTTCAAACAGGAAGTCACGTCACGGGTTTACGATAACGCGTTTAAAATTTGCATCTCCGCGAGGGAATTCCACGATCCCGCGGCACGAATGCGGAATCCAAGCGTCTCGCGACGATCCGTCGCTCGAAAAACGGGATCTCGATCCTCTCGAGCTCCCTTCGAAACCGGAAACAAACCGGAAGTGGCCAGCGGGATTCCGAGAAATCTGAGAAGTTTATGGAAAATGCAATGCGATATAATGCGAAGTCGTGGCGCGAATTTTAAAACGCGAATTTCGAACAATACGGGACAATACGTCACGTGCCGCTATGATCGATTTCTGAAGCGTTGTTCGAAATGTGACACGCGCCAAACTTTCGTCCGTGGAAAGGTTAAATTGGTTGGAGGAAAGAAACGAGGAGAGGGGGGGGTTAGAAGTCGATAAGTTGCGACGTTTTTGATAGATACCTCCTTGGAAAAGGGGGAAATATAAGGGAGGGTTTTTTTATAAAAGTGATTTATGGTTGGCCTTTTCTGCCTCTGCGAGATGATAAGAAAAAAGAAAATGCTTTTTTTCTTATGTACGAGATTACGGGGCTGGATAAATTAATTTACGATAAAAAATGTAGGTTAGTATGAAATTTCGTTGCCGCGAATGAAATATTTTTATTTCGATTATCATTTACCTTTCTCTGAAATTTTTCGAATTCAGATTTACACGAATTTTTTCAAAATTCAAAATATCCAATCACTTAATTATTTCGTCTATGATCGTTATACTATCTTCTTTATCTATTTCTCTCTAAGAGTTATTTTTCTCAAATTTAAACTTAATCGAAATTTAACAAATGATCATCATCAGAATTATTCAAATATTCTATATATTTATGACAGGATTATTCCAATTATCCACGAGGTAATTAAGTTATCTCGTGTATTTGTTTTTAAATATTTAACGCCCCACATCTCCTCGAAAAGTTACACGCTATTTTCATTTCGTATCGTTGGAAGTTTTAAGAATTAAGGTACATTCCGCTAAGGAGTTGATCCTTTCCAGAAACTGCAAGCAAACGCTTTTAGCTCCGAAAAGCTATGAAACGTTATAAAAGCGGTTCCAGGAACTGTCTTTCTTCCGAGTTTCTTGGATAAACTTAGCAACAGAGGTCTAGCCGTTGGTGATTCGGGTCAGCTTAATTAAACTCTGGGACGTTTTATCCGGGCTAACTGTCGCATTGTTGTAAGTTCGCGGATTTATCCGCGACGATTGTACAGAGAATCGGGAACAGAACAGCTCCTAGTGGTAATTTATCACGTCTGAGCGTGGTATTAATTGGGATCCTTATAACGCTATATGTCGCTAGTATTTCATCGACCCAGAAGAATTTGTAACGCGATAATAATATAGCTGGGGATTTAAAGTTATTTTCCGATTCGCGAATTACGAGAATGTCATCCAGCATCGTCGCTAATTTTCATTTTTTCCAATCAACAGATATCAAGATATCTTTTTCTTAGATAACAAATTAATGTAACAGATGTTATGTTAAAAATAAAAAAAAAAAACTGTTAAAATCTCCGAAATGGAAGAAGTGAAAAAAATATTAATTGATTAATATGATTAATATGATTTCTCCCTACGCTAAACGAGGCTCGTATAATATTATAACGTTATAACGTGAAAGAACGATTCGGGAAATCAGTGATAATTTTCCGGGAAACAGGGGAACGGTAGAAAACGTTTTATCGATCGAGCAACGAGACGATATAAGACGGGTAAAAAGTTCAAGAGAACCGCTCGGAAGTTCTCCTGGGAAAGAAAGTTGCGAGAGGCTGTCGGTGAATCGGCCACGAAACTTATAAAAGAAGTAAGAAAATGTGGCTGATCTTCGAATGTTTAAAACATTTGAAAGCATTCTACCGCCCCTCTCTCTTTCTCTTATTTTTTCTTTCTCCTTTTCTCTTTTTTGAAAACATCGACGAGGGAATGGAAACAGATTGATAACTAGTCGAATATCGATAGGGTTCCAGGAATCCTGTAACTGAGCGATCGGGAGTATCACAATTAAAAGAAAAAAAGAAAAAACAAAAAAAAAAACAATTCAATTTCCGGTAGGGATTGGAATACTCACGGAAACAGGAGCTGTGTGAGGCGTGGCCGCTTCCTGCGTGTGGTGAAGTCGACTGGGACTGGGGCTCGACCTTTGGGAATTTTGCCCACGCTGCCAGGATCCTCCTTTGTTATTGCTGAAATCAAATTAAGTTTTATATACGTAGGAGACATGACAGTTGACAGATGAACAAGTGCTTCGTACGAGAGATCAAAGGTACTGGATCGGAAAGGTGACCAGGAACCGCGGCCTCACGGTACAGATTCCACGGTGATTCACGCGAGACCTTTGACACGGTCGCTCGCGGCTTTCGCATCGAACGGGTAAAAATTGGAGGCTGAGCGAGCGATTAGATCTCTCGATAAATTATCATAGGGCAAGTGTTGTCATCGTGGCAAAGATAGTGGGTAATAAATTACGCCGGTTCGAGGTCTCTCCGCGTGTGATTTACACGTTCGCCTGCCGATAATCGTCCTGCCGATGTATGCCCGACAATGATCTATAACGAGCGGATGATCTATGACCGGAGGATCAAACCTTGGAGATCCTCTTGCTCGCTGCCGATCGTTGGACGAAATCAACGTATCAAACGTTTGTTGCTCGTTCCATCGGTGAAAATCCTATTTGATTTATAAACTCGTTATCGCCTATGCTTTCTACGAGGATGCTCGTAATGGCCGTTTTTTCTTTCTTCGCCGAGTGCATAAACTCACTTTCGAGAGTTCATAGGAGGCAGTGAATATGTCATACAGTGGATTTATACGTAGCATCTGGAACTACCGCGTTACGAACGTGGATTTCATTTGACCGTTATATATAAATTCTGCTCAACATTGAGACAAAATTACGCTTCGCATCATCGGGTATATACTCAGATAAAACTCAGGAATTAGGAAATTCAGATATTCAGAAAGAAATCTCGAATCTCCAAAAAATCTAGAAGTATTAGAAATTCATGTTGCGATAAAAAGTTAAATAATTCGAGGATTGTTACGCATCGAATAGAAATACTAGAAACTTGCTCGTTTCATCCGCATCCGTTAAATTAGAAACTCGCTCGTCACCGATATTGCAACAAACGTCTTCTCGAGCTTAAGAAGGAAGGCACGTCTGCCGTTTCTAACCCGACAGGTTTGATCCGAAACCACTCCCAGTCCACGAGAAGAGATCAGCCGAGAGTCGGCCGGGAACTACGTAGAAAGTAGAATAAATCGATGAACTTCTGTCGCTGACTCGTGATCCTCCAGCGGAGGACGACTCGGCTGTCGATCAACTCGGCGGCGGAGCGTGTGGAAAAAATTCGTTTCGCCATGATGAAAATCACGTCTCTCTCTCTTTCTCTCTCTCGACACCCGAGACGCGTGCACAAGCTCCTGCACTTTGCTCGAGCACCGTTGCTCTTTTCTCGAGTCGGTTGTCGACCGACTCTCGTCCATCGAACGGCCCGTATCGCTTATCACGATCGCCGATAATGACGTATTAGATCGGAGTGAAAGCATCGTGGGAATTGATCGGGTAGCGCTCGCGTGCCCTGGACAAGCAGGAAGCGTTCGACAGCCGTAAGTAAGTAAGGTCACGTCAAGGCAATAGGTGGGGCGATTAACGCCATTAATGTCCGACTTTGTAAGCTTTCCCAGAAGAAACGAGCGATGGACGGATTTCACACGGGAAGCTTGTTATCCGTCGGATTTTTTCCCGTCTGATAATTTGTACGTGGGATCGGTTCTCGAAGAGGGAGGCATGGCGATTTGTTTAACGGCCACGTTTGAACTTTGTGATTGGCCGGTTGGATGGGATGAAGTTCAATGCTGGACGCTCACAATGCTTCAAGTCTAATATTTCGTTTCTTTTTATATATGATATAAGAGGTAATTATATAGATCTCGTCTTGTAGATTTGAATCTGTTTAATATAGTTTTAATTAAAATCTTTTCGGTGAAGAATGTAGCAAAACACAGCATAGAATCTTTTCAACTCTTTAATTGATTTAATGTTAAGTTTTGTTAAATATTGTTTTAATAAGAGTCTGACTTGTGCTCGAAGTTATAAAATATTCTTCGAATGTTCGAAATTATATTCGACTTGTAACACGCTTGAAAGAAATCCATTTAATATATATATCTCGTCATTAATCCCATATATAATTCGGATAATCTTCAAGTAATATTTGCCAAGAAGAGAGACCGAAGAGGATAAGAATTTCTACCTCTCGTTTCGGAAATTGAGACATCGAGACGTCTCTAATGAATCATATGTGTATATGTACACTCTCGGTTGGATATTAGCAAACGTCGCGGCAACTCGCCGCGAGTATTTCACGTATTTCACCGCGCCTTGACTAATCCCGTCGTTATCAAGAGTTTCATAATCATCAGCCACGAGACACGTATTCGCGAACGAGGTCGGAATATTGGCTGGTTTTCGTGTAGAAAGTGCAAGGAACTCGGTCAATATTTCCAAGGCTCGTGTATACGAAACGATTTCAAACGCCATCGCGGAGACAAATCACCGCGGGATCCTTGGATAAATATCTGCAGGAGACTACTACACGCGTTTGTACTTATAATTATCTCGATTGTTTGCCGCTTCGAAATCGCTAAATCTTCCGGCGACATGCTTCGGTTTTTCGGTCGAGGAAATGGGATTGGCCAGCTGATATACCCGTTGCAGTTTTTCAACGTCGAAAATTACGTTCTATTTATGAACGTGAAAAATATTTATCCGAGTCCGGTTTTTTTTTTCCTGAAAAACGGAACAAACTGCAATATAATTACAGTGTTTTGCAATAGTCCAATTAATGTAACAATCTCTGCTGACCCAAATTTTATTACCAAACTTGTTTTGTACGAGAAATTTTAATAATTTTAGAAACTTGTACATGTAGGGATTTCATCATTAATATCGTTCAAGAGCATCTGAGAGAATGGAGAAAAATAATTTTTACTTTCAAAATTTGAAAACGAGGATGGAAAATTATTCTATTAAATGGAATAATTTATGGTCAACAGAGAGATGATTCTTCAGAGGGATTCAAAGATATTCAATTTGAATGGCAGTAGATAAAGTCATTCACAGTAGAACAAAGGAATTTCGGTGGCGTTTAATGATAAAATTGTATCACCACTGCGGGGACGATAATTAAGAATGAATTTCACAATCGAAACGATTGTTTTATCGCGTGGTACAAAATTCCAATGACCGATTCATCGTGCTCTTTGTGTATTTGATCGTCAAATTCATTTGGAGATGCGATTGAATACATTTGTTGGCTGTATCGAAAAATTCGATTTAAAAAAAAAGCTGATTTTATCTGGAAAGCGAAACCTCTCAGGATATTTGCATTATGTAACGAGTTACATCCGAATTAGATAACTCTGATTTATGTAAATGCAATTTCATTCCAACATCTACTCTACTATCCAAATATTTTATTCTCTTTCTGTAAAATTCCATACATATTTACGTTTCAGGATTCCTGTTCGAGCTTTGAGTTATTCATTACCTTACCATACACAGAATTTAATTTCTAAAAAAATAATTATAAATAATTTCAAATGCAAGTGTATAAATATCTTCTCTTGTAACTATTATGCTGATCGATATTAAAACATTCAATAATGTTCGTGACTTTTATTTCTGTCCGTCTTTAAATCGGAAAATCGATCCATCCTTCTTATTCAATGAAGTTTAAAACCATCTCGATCGATAAAAACCTGAAAATAAATCAAATAAATCAGAATCACGAAGCCAAAAATTGCAAAGAGGATTCGAGAAAGATACATACCAAAAGAAGATGAAACAACTTTTGAAACGATCTAATAAATACAAAGAAGTCCAAACAAATGTACTTTGACAAAGGAATCTAATTCGTTACCTCACCTCATCAAAGAAAATTATCCTGAGAAAAAAAAAAAAAGGTAGAAATTGAATTATTGAAAACGTAATCAAGAAACGAATCAAAAGCTATATCCAATATTTATTCGATCGTTACTTGGACGGGGAACAGAGTGTGAAATACTGGAAAGCCGGCTAAAAGCGTGATCGGGTTAAGGACCAGTGTTAAAATCGAAATTTATACGATGCCCTCGTATATTGCTGGTTTTCGACTGGTTCCTCGTCGTTTCTTTTCAGCTGGATCGACTTTCCGCCACGCTACGCAGATAAATCGATGCACCCAGGCCAAATAAACAATCGTATTTATCGCCCCGGGTTCACATGTGGGTGTGCTGGTTACGGGCCGCGGAAACCGGTCGTAAAATCTTACCGGTTTCGCATTACGGCTTCTCTCATACAGCTGCGACCGATGAACCTGCCTATGCGCACGCCGCGTGTACAGTAGTAGGTACGTGTGTGAAATTTTTATTTTCATCGCTCTCGAGAACGCCACCAGTATCAACCACCCTCTTCCGCCGTAAAAAAATCCTCGTCACCGTTATGTTACGGGTGCGACAGAAGGAATTCGAGATGATTTATGCTCGATCATGCTTCGTGAAATCAATGATAATTAGTTAGCGGTCGATGAGAAAATTTACGATGTTCTTGGACGAAGCCAGTGGATGGTGGACGAGAGAGGAATCGGAGTAATGGCGCGGTTGCGTAAAGAGTGAAAGAGGATCGAGTTATTGCATACACTACTACTTTGATGGGTAATTGATGTAATCAATTCGAATTCTTGTTGTTTTAACAATAGAAAAATTGGTAATGCGTTTAAATGAATCTGATTACAACGAGGAGGGATATAAAATTAATCTTTTCCAAAAGAATTTTGTAAAAATAAAGAATCATTTTGATGGATTTAATAATTGAAACGTTAAAAATCTTGTTTTTTTCTTTTCGTTCTTTTTAGCATTCTTTTTAAGTATGTAAAATATTTGTGCAAAAAAGTTTTATTTTAAGAAACAAAATGAAAAAGATAGTGATAAATATAGACGATGATTGGTCGAAGTTAAACTCAAGGATTTAAAGGTTTATAACCGACGAAGAAGAAGAACAATATTGTATCGAGACGAAGTCAACACTTGTTAGAATCACGTTCTTTTAAAAAATACATTTACATCGGTTTTTGATTTTAAAGCGCAGCAGACATTTATCGCGTGAATCAGGTACGAAATATTTAACTGTTTTGAAAACAATGAA